TCAGTATGTAGAAGCGGAACGTGCCTAACTACTGACCTTGTCCTATCCTTGAAGAGTAATCTCCCTTTAATTTTGTTGAATGAAAATCCATCTGGTGGAAAAATAGTATTTATAAGTTTTTTTTTCTATTCCTAATGATCAAATCCATCTTGTCGTCTTGATATTCTAAGTATATACACTTTTCTAGTGTCAAAAATTACTTGTTTCCATTTGCTTCAATGCAACCATTAAAAATTATTTTCTGCAGAGGTATTTTTAAAATTTCTCTCAGTAAATTCTTTTTTTACTCTAAAATGCTTCGAATTCATATCAAAGTACACTTTATACATGATACATATTGAAAGTAAGAAAATAAGTCCTTATATGGGTCGGATACCTTAACTCCAACTCTTCAACTGCCAGGCACATTATACTTTATTCACAGGAGTCTGAAGTTTTTATCATCACCAAAAAAAAAAGAAAAAAAAAAAAAAATCTGGAAAAAAAAATCTGGGAAAAAAATTCCCACCCTTATGGAATGCCATATACGACAGCCAACTGCTTACTACCAACTGTCAGCTGCTTACTGCTAACTGCCACACATATTTGAATAAATCTTATTTTTATATTGATATTTATGTGAATTAAAAAAAAAAAAAAAAAAAAAAAACAGGCGCGTATGGAATGCCATATACGACAGCCAACTGCTTACTGCCAGCTGCTGACTGCTTACTGCCAACTGTCAGCTGCTTACTGCCAGCTGCCACACATATTTGAATAAATTTTATTTTTATATTGATATTTATGTAAAATTAAAAAAAAAAGGCGCGGATCTATAGGACATTTTTTCCAAAAGGGTCACTCTGGTAAAAAAAAAATCCAACCCAGAAATTTCTTGACAAGAAAAAAATGCGTAAAATCCTTTCCTAAATGTGAAAGTTTATTTCGGCCGGGGAGAGGGGGTTCTTATGCGTCATACCTTCATGTGTATGACATTTTTCATACCAACTTAACACGAATCCACATTTTCGGTTGCGGAAGGGGGGGTGTTCTAAGGTCCCTTTTAGTTGATTTATGTTATACATTAAATAACTTTTAGTTGGTTTAGTTTGTGCATTAAATAATTGTACAAATTTCAGAGGGGTGTTCCGGACCCCTCTCTCTAGATCTATGCATGTAAAATATATTTTATTTGTACAAACTGAGCTATAAATGTTTGATCGACGTTTTCTAAGTGGAGGGTCCAAGGTCAGTTATACCGGTAGTTCGTTTAGTTTATTTAACGTATGACTGTACAAATTTTAAATGCCCCCCCCCCGAGATCTATGCATGTGAAACATTACAGGGACGTAGCAACAGGGGGGGGGGGCAGGGAGGGGGGCCTAGCCTCCCCACTTTTTTTGCCAACACTGCCTTTACTATTGAAAATGTAAATTGAAAGGATGGTTGCCCCCCCCCCCCCCCCCACTTCTTACCATAGTATAATGATATCAAGGATATGTAGTATTGGGTGGGAAAAAAATGTAAGTGAAAGGTACTTGGCCTTAGAAAAAAGTTACCCACCTCCCCCCCCCCCCCCCACCACCACCACCACCACCACCACCACCACGAAATAGGATTTTCGAGTTTGGGCTATTTTCTTTTTTTTTTTTTTTGGCTTGTCAACTTTTTCAGGTAAGTAAAAAAATTTTCTCTGGTTGCCCCCCCCCCCCCACTTTCAAAAACGATGCTTCGTGCTTGCATTATGACACACAGAGATATACATCTTTAATTTGAGGAAATATTTAACAATAGAATATTACGACGGCGTATTCGTGCCATTTTAACAATGTAGAAATTTTTTATTAAATCGTTTGTACGATTTAGTAAATAGTTTGTACGATTTACAAAATCGTTTGTACGATTTACTAAATCGTTTGTACGATTTACTAAATCGTTTGTACGATTTACTAAATCGTTTGTACGATTTAACAAATCGTTTGTACAATTTAGTAAATCGTTCGTACGATTTAATAAATCGTTTGTACGATTTAATAAATCGTTTGTACGATTTACTAGATTAAATCGTACAAACGATTTATTAAATTGTACAAACGATTTATTAAATCGTACAAACGATTTACTAAATTGTACAAACGATTTATTAAATCGTACAAACGATTTACTAAATCGTACAAACGATTTACTAAATCGTACAAACGATTTATTAAATCGTACAAACGATTTACTAAATCGTACAAACGATTTAAAAAAATATTTTTACATTGTTTAAATGGCACGAATACGCCGTCGTAGAATATAATGGAAAACGGAAATTTATTTTCAAAACATCTTTCTCTGCGAAACGACAAATCTTTTTTTTATTATTATTCTCTCTTCAAAGGTTTTGTTGTCTCCGTGGGAGGGGGGGTGGGGCTTCTTTAAAGATTAATTGGAGAAAATAGTCATTTTATTACCTATTTCAAATAGGAAAACAAATTAAAAAAAATAAACAATGTACTTTATCAACCGCATATATTGAATATTACATAAGATAAAACATATTGGTCATTTTATTCAATTCAATTTTACCAAGGTGACCCCCTTGAAAAAAATGTCCTGGATCCGTGCCTTTTTTTCCCCTTTTTTGTGAAAATTCATATAAATATCAATAAAAATATAAAATTTATTCAAATATGTGTGGCAGTTGGCAGTAAGCAGCTGACAGTTGGCAGTAAGCAGTTGGCAGTAAGCAGTTGGCTGTCGTATATGGCATTCCATAGGCGCGGGTCCAGAACATTTTTTCCAAGAGGGTCACTCATGTTAAAAAAAATCCAACCCAGAAATTTCTTGACACGAAAAAAAAAAACGCAAAGTCCTTTCCTTAATGTGAAAATTTATTTCGGCCGGGGAGAGGGGGGTTCTCATGCGTCATACCTTCATGTCTATGACATTTTTTATACCAACTTAACACGAATCCGCGTTTTCGGGCGGGTGGGGGGGGGGGAGTTCTTAGGTCCCTTTTAGTTGATTTATTTTATACATTGAATAACTTTTAGTTGGTTTATTTGTGTATTAAATAACTTTACAATTTTCAGAGGGAGTTCCGGACCTGTCTCTCTAGATCTATGCATGTAAAACATATCTTATTTGTAAAAACAAAGAGATATAAATGTTTGATCGGCGTTTTCTAAGTGGAGGGTCCAAGGCCAGTGTCCGGACCTGTCTCTCTAGATCTATGCATGTAAAACATATCTTATTTGTAAAAACAAAGAGATATAAATGTTTGATCGGTGTTTTCTAAGTGGAGGGTCCAAGGCCAGTTTTAGTTCGTTTAGTTTATACATTAACCCATGACTGTACAAATTTTAAATGCCCCCACCCCATCCCCCAAGATCTTTGCATGTGAAACATTATAACACACAGAGATATACATCTTTAATTTGAGGAAAATTTTAACTATTATAGAATATAATGGAAAATGTAAATTTATTTTCAAAACATCTTTTTCTGCGAAACGACAAATCCTTTTTTTTTTTTTTTATTTTCTCTCTTCAAGGGTTTTGTTGTCTCCGGGAGGGGGGGGGGGGGGGGGGTTGTTACTTCTTTTAAGATTAAAAGCAGAAAATAGTCATTCTATTACCTATTTCAAATAAGAAAATAAAAATAAAGAATGTACTTTATCAATGGCATATATTGAATATTACATAAATTAAAACATAGTAGTCATTTAGTCAATTTAATTTTACCATGCAGGGTGACCTCTTGGAAAAAATGTCCTGGATCCGCGCCTGTTTTTTTCTTCTTCTTTTTGAAAATTCATATAAATATCAATATAAATATAAAATTTATTTAAAAATGTGTGGCAGTTGGCAGTAAGCAGCTGACAGTTGGCAGTAAGCAGTCAGCAGTTGGCTGTCGTATATGGCATTCCATCACCCTCAACTAACTTTTTTTTTTTTTTTTTTTTTTTTTTTTTTTTTTTTTGTTAAGGGTGGGAATTTTTTTTTTTGGATTTTTTTTTCTTTTTTTTTTTTTGACGATAAAAACTTCAGACTCCTGTGCTTTATTCTAGAGTTTATTCCAATTTTTGTTTATACTGCAGATGTATATAAGATTTTAGAAACTTACATCCAACCAATCTACCGTAATTAACGGTAAAAGACAAACATTTCGCATAATACCGGTAGTCAGAATCAATGCACTTCTATGAAAATTATCGAGATTGATTCCCAACAGTAATCTACGACGGCGTATTAGTGCCATTTTAACAATGTAGAATTTTTTTTAAAATCGTTTGTACGATTTAATAAATCGTTTGTACAATTTAATAAATCGTTTGTACGATTTAATAAATCGTTTGTACGATTTAACGATTTACTAAATTGTACAAACGATTTATTAAATCGTACAAACGATTTATTAAATCGTACAAACGATTTAATAAATTGTACAAACGATTTAACAAACAAATTGTACAAACGATTTATTAAATTGTACAAACGATTTATTAAATCGTACAAACGATTTACTAAATTGTACAAACGATTTATTAAATCGTACAAACGATTTACTAAATCGTACAAACGATTTACTAAATCGTACAAACGATTTACTAAATCGTACAAACGATTTAAAAAAAAAATTCTACATTGTTAAAATGGCACTAATACGCCGTCGTAGTAATCTCTTATTAATGTCAAATCAAAAGTCGATTCCTATGAAATTTATTTCCATACAAAGGAAACAAAAGTCACCCTGAATAGTTTCAACAATAATTGAATGAATTAATTTTAGAAGTACACCTTGAAGGGGAATGATAGAGATGGAGTAATCCGGTTATAAAGCTAGATACTAGTTAGTGTACCTTCATTATTCATATCAGCGTATTTGGTCAGTACTTTACAACAATACCATTGAAAAGAAAAGGTTTAAATGGATAGATTCCTGCTTTGTTCAAGGTAAATCATATAAAGTCGATGAATTATATTGTAGTTGGAATTTATCAATATTTTATCCTTCATTTCTAAATACCGGTATATGTGAGTATTCAACTAATAATCAATACGATGTCTGTTTCAAATACTTATCATGGGTTAAAAGCGAGCTTAATTGACTGGAATAAACACGGTGAGGAAGTTCTCGAAAAGTAGAACTTTAATTTGATGAAGTTCAAATTGTTGAAATAGTGTCCAAGACTTCTGAACGAAAATATGGAAGAAAAAGTTCCTGTTCATTTAGAATCTAATACGAAACATGAAAAATCTTCCCTTGTTGAAATTTTCGTGGCTGGAACAAGATTTGAAATTCCAAAGGAAAACATTTTAAAATATCCGGGAACATTGCTTGAGAGAATGCTACCGGAACTTGTGAAGGGAAAAAAGGATCCTTACATTTCTTTCAACCGCTCAGACGATTCCTTCAAAGCCATTCGGAACTTTTACCTCACCGGTAAGCTTCATATGCCCTTAAACTTGTGTCCTGGAGAATTCGCCGAAGAAATGGACTACTGGGAAATACAATCAGACAATCTGGAACCTTGTTGTCGATATAGGTAAACAAAAAAAAAATTATCTTCATATTTAATATTTCAAGCAATATTAAATCAAACAAGAATACCGGGGGAAAGTCTGAAAGAATTTTTATTTTTGATTTTTCCAGCATATTGTCTTTTCATATGCTCTTTAGATATATTCTATTTTACAATTGTATAAAAAGTGTGGTCAATATGTTTCTTTGACTGGTATATTGTGTTTATGAATAAACGGAACCAGGAGACTATACATACATAACGGTAATGTTACATATCGGAAGTTTCTGGTATAACAAAGAACACACGGCTAGTTCATTTTAATTGAGATTTTATATATATGAAAAAAGACTTCACTTTTTATTTTAGAGATATACATCTTTACATTTCCCCTTAAGTTATTTTTAGGTATAATCTGAGTCATTGTAAAATATAATTTTGCATGAAATATGGAGAAAAAGAACAGTAATCAAGCTTAATAATCCACAGAAAAAATAAAATCAGAAGCAGGCCGAACAAGGGCCCCTAAAAACACAAGAAGTGGGATCAGGTGCCATTTAGGAGTTAGCATCCCTTGTAGACCGGTCACACCCGCTGTGTTCTCATTTTCATGATCGGGAAAACTTGAAAAAAATCCATAGACAATTCAGTGTGTAAACAAAGACCTTATAATTAGTATAAAAAAGGCTTGTCAACATTCGACTTTTAATGAAAAAAATACTTGCTAACAAAGTCATTGTATCGACCATAAAACTTGCCAAATGGTGAATTTAAACGAGACTATTGATATCCTTGTTTCATCAACATGTTGGTCATTTGCTTGCTTCGTTGTAGAAAATGTTTGTACGTAGAACGTGCAGTTATGTATCGAGTTTAAAAGTGGGAGACATAAACCTCATTTTCTGGTGATTTTGGTATATTGCATAAGTAAAAGAAATTGACGATTGAAAAGTTGAAGTCATCACGTTCATCATGAAGCTTTGTAATAAAGTTACCATTCAAGTCTTTTTCTATTATCAAAATACTACATGTAGTATTCCAAGTATGAAGCAGATGTGTCAGAATCTGTAGGATATTTTATTTCAACATCATTGAAATATGCAGAAGCAACATATGAATGGACATTTTGATCTTTTGATTTTGGTAAAATTTTGTGATTTTCTAAAAGTTCATTGGAGATTTATCCTGAATTACATTACCTCTAAAATATGTTGTTGAACAGTACTTCTGAAGTTCATTTCTTCTGCTGTTAAAATTTTAGCGGAAAGTAAAAGGCTTAGTAGAACATTTCATGGATCCTGCAAAGTAGTATTTGTTTTGTTTTAATTAAACTCCCATTTTCATTGGAAAAGATGGGAATGTTAAAAATAGTGTCCCGCGCCTTTTTATCTATTCTAAACGTTCTACAATCGTCAAAATATCGTCTTTCATATTCTAAGGAGCAATTTAAAAAAAAAATAATTTTCAGAAATTTTCCCAGTTAACTTTCAAATCTTTTTCTTCAGGTTTTTGCGTTTTAAGCAACAGGAAGAAATGTCAATGCAGTTCCGTAAAACCATTCCAGCGGCCAAGCAAACCGGGGCTATTTCAGGGAACTTCTCGTGCAGACAGCGGCTTTGGTTTATTGTTGACAATAGAGAGTCGTCAGTTCTAGCCAAGGTTTGTAAAAACAGGGGGATGTTACTAGTATTTAGTTTCATTTTTCTTCTCCAAAGTATATCGTTACTATTTTTTTTCTTAAATTCAGAAGTTTAGCATTTAATTTTAGGAAAATAATCTTTTGATATTTTTATTTTGCAGATCTACCTTGGATTCATCCTTCTTTTCGTTTTCCTGTCTATAGCCTCACTGTCTCTTAGCACGTTACCGATGTTCCAGCGGAAACTGACGATTTGCGAGGCTCGTGATTTGTTAATTTACGACCACTACGTCCCCGATGACGTAGAGGACTTCCTATACAATAATGTTGACTGCAGCGAGGATGCAGATGTGGCTTTGAAGTCCATTCTTGGAGATTATGCATACTACACAGATGAGAAATTTAACGAGACGATAGAACAGTGGGAAAGTCAATGGAACATTTCGTCAGATTACGAAGACGAACTGGATAACCTTATGTTCAAGTGGAAATTGAAAAAAATGAAAATTCCAAATAAAACTGCTCGCCTGAGAGAGTTTGATAGAATTGATAAGATTGTTTTGGCTGTTTTTACTGCAGACCTTTTCCTAAGACTTGCGTCTTGTCCAAGTATTTGTTCATATTACTTGTCAGCGCTGAATGTGATAGACACGATCGTCCTGATTTGTGGAATTCTGGGATATGTCTTGGAAAAATCGTTGATCGACTTTACTTATGATCGAGGAGACGTTGATATACTGGTCTATCTTCAGCAACTTCGAGTGTTTCGTCTGCTCCGAGTTGTCCAGAATTTTGCCGCCATTAAAGTCCTCGCCTTCTGCTTCAGAGAAAATTTTAAAGAAATATTGGTTCTTGTATTATTTTTATTTGTCGGGGTCAACTTTTTCGCAAACTTGCTGTACTTTGTCGAGCAGAAGAATATATCCAGCATTCCCCAGGCGTGGTGGTGGGGAATAATCACTATGACAACGGTTGGTTATGGCGATATGTACCCTGTAACCGCTCTCGGTCGCGTCATTGGATCTTTTTGTGCTCTTTGTGGAGTTATTGTTCTTGCTTTAATCATTCCACTTTTTGTGAACAACTTCATTGCATTGTATGAAATTGCACATTTGTTAAAAAATAATGTACTAAAGGAACAAAAACTGCAACTTAAAGTGCGTCCAAATCCTACATGAAAACAATACAAAGCATTGCTTTTTTTGTTTTAAATTTACAATTTTTGTCTTTAAATCTCATTCGTCTGACCGACGGTCACAAAAACTTTAGCCTTGATCATATCTTTTGAATGAGAAGAGACAGTACTTCCACATTACATACACATGTATATGTATTAGTAATTACCTGTGACCTTTCTAAATGCACTTTGATTATTGACCCCATGACCTACACCTTTACTTTTCAAAAATTTAAACATAACTTTAAATTGGCCGAACGTCTGAATGAGAAAAGATAGGGCTTTCATACTTAAAATTTGTATTACTTGTTATAAAACCTTTCTAATTACTCTATGCTTTTTGACTCCATGTCCTTGACCTTGAAGTTTGACCTACTTTTCAAAAACAATAAACTTAGTCATAACTTTTGGATGAGAAAATGTAAAGCTTTCAGATGTGTACATGTATTACCTTGACAAGACCTTTCTAAATACACTATGATTTTTGATCCAGTGACCTTGATCTTTGCATTTGACATACTTTTCAAAAATGTTATTTTTCCTTATTACTTTTGAAAGACAAGAGATAGGGCTTTCATATTTGATATGTGTATTACCTGTGACAAGATATTTCCGAGAATGATTTCTGACCCCTTGACCTTGATGTTTGACCTAATAAAAAAATCAATTTTGGTGATAACGTTTGAATGACGTATGATAGGGTGTTCATATTTGACACAATATGCCATAATTAATTTTATTTAAACAATATTTTTATTATTAATAAAAATAATAGGAGTGGGAAGCAGGCATAAATAATGACATTTCATCCACAAAGACACCGAAAGCGGGGGACAACAATTCTTTGAATTTGCTTGTAGTACTTAATTTTCTATAATTTGTCACAAAGTAGAGTTATTCTATAAATGTGTGTATGTGTGTGAGTGTATGTGTGTGATTCGCAAAGATAATGCAAACAAATTCAAAGAAGTATGGTCCTCCGCTACTTGGTGTCTTTACGAGTGAAATGTAATTTTTTTAATGGTATATTAAGTCAAATATGAATGCCAATTCATATGTCATTCAGAAGTTATCAAGTTGACTTTTTTTTTTTTTTTTACAAATTAGGTCAATGGTGAAGGTTTGATGTCAAAAGGTCAGGAATCATAATATGCTCGGAAATATATTGTCATAGGAAATGCATATGTCAAAAATATAAAAAGCTCTTTCTCTTCTCATTCAAAAGTTATGGCCAATTTTAAGTCTCTATTTTAAGTGGCCAAGCTTAAGGATCAAGTTTATGAGGTCAAATACCATAGTTTATTTTCTAGAAAGGTCTTGTCACAGGTAATATACATGTGTTATATGAAAGTCCTATCTCTTTTCATTCAAAAGATACGACCAAGATTAAAGTTTTTGAAAAGTAGGTCAAACTTATAGGTCGAGAGGTTAAAAATCATAGTGCACCGCATACATGTATCCTTTTTTTTTGCGTGTTGGAAATTTTGCGAAAAAGGGGTAGATTTGTACAGTTTTTATTTTGCGTAATTTATTTTATAAAATCGAAGATTTTTTTTAATTGTAATGTTTTTATGTCACATAGTAGTACTACTGCGTGTTTTATATATTGCGAATTAAAATTGATCGCAAAAAAGTGAAAGGTAGATAATCGCAACAAAAAAAAAAAAAAAACAACAACAACAAAAAAAACAACGTATATATGGATTTAGAAAGGTCTTGTCACAGATAATGCACATTTTACTATGAAACCTTTTATCTTCTCATACAAAAGTTATGGACAATTCACTGTAATATTTAATTTATTTAAAAGTAGGCCAAACTTCAAGGTCACGGCATCAAAAATCATAGTATATATTTAGAAAGGTCTTATCACAGGCAATATGCATGAGTAATATGAAAGAATGACAGTTTTACAAGTCAACCATTCTAATGAATAGTCCAATCCATACTTTTCAAGAGTTATGTCCCTTGGCCGCCATCTTAGGGGATAAACCCATATATTCCACACAGTAGCCTTTGTAGTTTTCAGGTTTGTAACTTCGTCATTCGACTTTAAAAAAGCTCTGCCTTTTGTGTACTGATTGCCCCATAATGGGGCTACCCACACATTGAACGAACAAAAAATAAACACAATGGATTTATCACAGCACGCCCAAATATTTGGTAGCATAAAGAGGAGAAATGACGTTTCTTTCCCTTTTGACCTTTTGCTTGACCCCGCAAAGGGAAACAACTTTTGCAAAGTGTGGATTGGACTAATAGTCAATAAAAATCTATATAAAACTCTTTTACAAGTGATTTGTATTGTAAATTAATAATTCGCCAATAAACTTGAATTTTGATAGTCTGTAGTTGATTGCACTCTATACCAACAGATCTTGTCACGAGAGTTTGAAAAATAATATTTTTCTTCATACCGGCATCCAATATCAAACACAAATCTGGAGAACTCTGTAAGGGTATTCGTCCGAATCATAATGAAAAAAAATAATTTACATTGCTTTTACCCGTGGGAGTCTAAAAGATACAATGCCCTGTTAATCAATGATGTTTTGTTTTAATCATAGAAGAAAAAAAAAACAACATTTTATATTGATGTATGTGCCAAAAAAGACTGGGATTTATAGGATGACATTAGAAGCCAAATCCATTTGTAAAGTGTAAGTCATACTGCAAAGAAATATATTAATAATATATCAATAATATTATTATATATCCTATTTCCAGTATTTTCCCCCACCTTTTTAGATTAATATAAAATAAAATATTTATCGAATAGGTAATGGAGCGTGTTAGTTATTGATTTAATAGAAAACATCAATTAATATTTGAGTGATTAATTAGAGGACATTTGTAAACATTTTTACATTGCACTCATTTTTTCTAACGAATGAAAAATTAATCAATTTATATATTAGCTATATCAATTCAATTCTTTATTTCCTTATGCCAAATGGCACATCAGACAGATACATGTACATTGTATTATAAACAAGGTATACATATATTCAAATCTTTCAATTGTATAATAAATGTTTACATATATATCATAAGCTACGAACAGTTTAATAAATCTTCTCTTCGTTGTAAAGCACTGAACAAACATTTTCCCAATTTAGACATTTCTTTAACATTTTGTACACTTAACAATTGTATTAATTTAAAGACAATAGGTTTTTTAACATAATACTGTTTTATATATTGGATTCTGAGATCTTCATATATAGGACATTTCAATATAAAATGGAACTCATCTTCTACATCATTTAAGTCACATAATAAACATTTTCTGTTATTTCTGTTTTCATTAACATATCTACCTTCTTCTACCCGTAATTTATGACTAGACAGTCTAAAGCTTGTGATACATTTTTTGTATGCATGTTTAATAGGTTTTGATAAATAATTTTGTAAACAAAAATGGTCTATAAAATGTTGATACAACTTTCCTTTTGTAGAAATCTTAATACTATGAAGGATTTCTTGACTATACACATCAAAGAATCTTTGCTTAACAATAACATATTCTCTACAAGTGTCAAAGTTTTGGAACAAGAGATAACTTAAACCAAGCTTATCAAATTCATTCTTAATTTCAGTAAACCATTTGTCATTATTCCTTACCCTTTCTTCATAACATGCTTTCAATATACAGTTGTTTGTACTTTTAAGTTGAAGCCAATATTTCAAAAGTTGAAGTTTCCTTGAAAGATATAGATGTAATCTGCCTAATTCATAATACACCATATTGTTTGGAGTACATAATTTCACCCCAAGACTTTCTTACAAAAATTACTATGAATTTTTTCAACATCTTTAGCCTTGTGAAAACCCCTTATTTCAGCTCCATATGAAAAAACACTTTTCACATATGTATCAAAAACTGCACATTTTGTTTCTATGTTTAGATAATAATTATTCATTCTTGAGTTAATTGCAAAAAATGCCTTCCGACCTTGATCGGCAACATGCTTCTGAGTGATATTGAATTTCCCATTATAATTAAACAGCATACCTAAGTAATTGAATTCATCGACAATTTCAAGTTCTTTATCCTCGTACATAAATTTTTCAGATATCTTTACATTTCCTTGATTTCTAAACACAACAATTTTTGTTTTTTCAGTGTTAAGTTTCAACTTCCATTCTTGGTTATATAAAAGTAAAGAGTCTAACAATTTCTGCAGTGAACATTCACTATGCAATAAGAGAGACGAAACCCGTATGTGAAGGTAAAATACCCTGGGTATTGTCCTTGAAGAATGCAAAGAATCATTTTGTTTTGGTGATCTACAATCATATATTTGAGAGCAAATTCAATGAATTGATTCAAGAGTGATATTGATTTAAAAAATCAAGACATACATGTTATAATAACTATTGTTGCTAGCTGTATGGTATTTTTATACATGTATCTGAAAAAATATCTCAATAACTAATTAAATGTTTTGATTGAGTTTTGAAAACTAAAATTGGAGCATGATAGAATACCTTTTTAAAATTGTGTTTTCTTAAAAAAACGGTATAGCGATTCAAAACGGTATAGCGATACATGTATGAACAAATAAGACAACTCTGGGTTGAAAAGGGAAAATTTTGGTCAATTGGTTAAAGAACACTTTTTTAAGTTACAGTAATCCACGAATCGATTTGTCAAGTTCAAGTTCATTTATTCTCTCAAAACCATTTAAAATATATGGTACATGAGGACAATGAAAAATATTTACAGCATAAATATATTCAGGTCAGAGGTATAAGTATATGATATACATAATCAGAAAATGGCAATGAGGGAAAAAGAAAAAAGAAAAAAACCCACGTATGATACATGTATAAAATGAAATAAATGAGGGGAAAAAATTATGGAGAACAGACTAAATCATATATTTATAATATAAACATACAAAGTTTTTTAAGTGACATAGCATCTTGCTTTGTCATCAGTTGGGAAAATTTCAAAATATTTGGTCTAGTCAAGTAATATTCATTAATATTCATTTTCCTGATGTTTGACAGTGCAGTACATTCAAGTATAAAATGGAATTCATCAGCAACATGTTTAGCATTACAAAGTGTACATAATCTTTCATTTAATGGTATACATGCCCATCTTCCCAGCTCAACTGGTAGACGGTGATTAGTAGTACGGAATTTGACAAGTATTTTTCTAAATTTTAATGGTAAAATATTTAAATAATTTTCACACTCAAAATTTGTTTTAAAGTTTTATACAAAGTGCCTTTAGAAGAACTATTAATATCAGAATGCCATTTTTGTATAAATTGATCTTGTAATCTTTGTTTAACAACAGAAGTAATCCAGACTTGAATAGGTCAAAGCATGAATGTGTTATACAAGCACGTGTATGTGAATAAAAAATGCATGATTTTGATTTTGTATCGAGCAAGATATCATCGCATTTTCTACTTTTAGACAATTTTATATCAAGAACATAATAACAAAAGTTATTTATAAAACTGACATCAAAATTATTGTAATCATATTTGTAAATAAATTCTAAAAAATACAATTTATATCGATATAGATTGATATATGGAGATATCAAACAGTAGTCACACTCAAATTGAAACAAAACAGTTCGGGAAAAGAGCAAACATGGAGCTCTAAGAGGTAAAAACATCAGAGTTGGGATCAGATGCCACAGAGGAATAAGCAATCCCTATCGAATGAATACACGTGCTGTGTGCTCTTTTTCATGCATGACAGGAAAAATGGAAAATAATTCTAGACAATTCGGTATGTAAATTAATTAAAGCGTAAACACGTCCGTCGGCATTCTACTTAATGATCGATTATAGTTTCTGACAAATTCATCCTATCGATTGTATCGACTAAAGGATTGCAAAATTAAAACTTTAAACAAACTTTTATATCCTTTTAACATCAATTTTTTTTTTTGTGAATAGCTTGCCTCGTTTTAGAATATCTTTGTACACAGAGCATGCTTTTGCGTATTGAATCTCATGGGATAAATAACTCCTATGTGCAGGTATTGCTATATAAGTAAAGAAAATTGACAATCTAAAAGTTGAAGCTATCACGTTCATTACGAAGTTTTTTCTCATGTTACTACTAACGCCTGGTCTGAACAACTTATGCTTGTTAAACACTGTTGTCCCAGTATAATCAAGGCTAAGAGTCCCCCCAAAAAAGTAGATACTCAAAGGAAGATCTTGTCACATGTGACATGTGATTGCATAGCCCAAATAATATAGATCGAATTCCAAGGTCATAGTCAAAATATTAAAAAAAAGTTGGAAAAAGAAGAAGGAATCTGGTAACATGGGAAAAAACATGTGAATTTTAAAAGAACAATTATAACACTAACCGTTTGGAAGAAAGGTTTTTATTTAAAAACTAGGACGAAGTCCAAAGTTAAGGTCAACTCAAATATATTGATACCCCGAGGAGAAAAGGTCTTGTCACAATGAATACATGTACACGTATGAATATCAAAGCCATTAAACCAATTATTCAAAAGATATGGGTAAGGTTAATGTTTTTGTGGGCAATTAATCACACTATCTTTAAATAACTGGACTCAGGTTGAAAAGATTTATACCTATCTTTAATTTCTTAGATAGATAAGTTCAATTTCATCATACCTATCGTTAAGGTTTTTGCCAAAGGTAAAGATGTTTAAAGATTCATCTTTACACTAGCTCCAAAACTATGTGAGGTATAAACTTAAACCTATAACAGTGTATAATTATATCGTTGATTAACAGATAGAAAGTATCATTTGAAAGCAAATGTTTTTGAAAATATATTTTTTTTAGAAAAAATATATCAAAAATTTTACATATTATTAAAACAAGTGCACCTGTTTAATGCTGTACCTTAAGTAGAACCATCATTGTAGAAATGATATACTGTAGACGTACTTATTTCCACGGGGTGATGATTCCGCAGAATCGCAATTTCTGTTTAATCCGCGGGTAGAAAATTACGAGGATTTCATAGACTGTCACTATATTCCTTATATTTATATTTAATACGCTTGGACAATACGCGGAAAATTTGTGACCGCGTACATAGCGTAAACTAATACCACGCGGAAAAAATACTTCTACAGTATGTTTATCAATGAAGGGCAAGTTGGACGTGAATGGTCTTTGAAAGGTTGTTATTGAAAGCATGATATGTATAAAGGCAAGACCCCTATAAAATCTGCCTTTTGCATTGTACTTTCGGTTTCAAGTCTCAACATTTGGACAAAATTAACAGGGAAAACAACTTCAAAGAGGCTATCGAAGTCCAACTTGCCCTTTATCGATAAACATAGTTTGTTTCTGCAATGATGACTTTCACTGAAAGTCCGGATGTACGTACTTAGGTGTATTTTGTAAAAGCATATGCATTTTTTAAAAAGAATTCTTTTTCGATAAATATTCTTTTTTTAAGCATTTGTTATCAATTGATACTTTCTATCTGTTAATCAATGATATTTATAAACTGTAAAAGTTTAAGTTTATAAACTACATAGTATTGAATGTATTGTAAAAATAAATTTTTGAGCATGTTGGCCTTTGGCGAAATCTTAACAGACATACAAATAAACATGAACCTTCTTTTCTATTAACATACAATGATATATCAAGAACATAATGCAAAGTGTAATTATCTTTAATTACAAATAGAAATGCTTGGAATCATGTTTGCAAAATAACAAATTGACCATTATGTTTTTAATAGAATGCGACAGTGTCTTGTTAACAACGTGTTAAAAACGGTACAAGACTGAAAATTGAAAGTACTAAAAAGTCATACATTTAAACAAAATAAATGCAAAGACAATGTAATCATTTAAGCCACTGGAAACTACATGTTGCCACATATGTAAGAGACAATGTTTCTTGTATTGGACACAAGAGGAACTTGAAGCATCTTTAAACATATTTTTATTGAATAATTCAATACGGATTGGGCAACAGGCAAAGCCTATGTACACCCTCTCCTTGTATAATAGGTCAAGTTACAGATATTAAATAATAATACTTGTACATGATATAATCAATAAAATTATAATGAAAAATAAAGATTCACAACCAAGTATTATTTATCAGTATAATATTTCAAAAAGATAACAACCCCCTAACTGTATACATATTATTTACATACTGTTCCAGCTTAAAATAATACAAATATTTGGAAAAAATATGCATTTAATAGAGTATTTAATATAACAGTGTTCCTAATTTAGTCTCTTAGAAGATTTAATAAATTCTTGTACATATGAAAATTTTTTACATTTGTTTGATAAGAGTATTGACATTTTCCTCTTAGCAGAGTGTCGAGTTCAAAAACAACATCAATATCATTTAATTTTTTTTACCAATAAATTTCTTTCAACATTATATGATGGGCAGTTGATAAGATAATGTTCAGTATCTTCAGTATGAAATCCACAATTTTGACATGATTGAATATCTGATAAAAAATGATTTTTTAAATGTGCATTAAGATTACTAGCATTGTTTCGCAACTGACAATGCAAGATATTTTCTTTTCTATTACCAAAGTTAAAGTACCTACAAGGTTTATTAGTTGCTCCCCAATTTTACGTTTTGCTTTAAAAATAGGTAACGAAGGAGAGTTTTTTACATCTTCATTAAGACTGTTCCAAAGTTTTATGGTTGAGGGAATAAAACTATTGTAGTACAACATTGTTTTACAAACTGGTATACATAAGTTACTACATCCAGACCTTAGGTTGTATGCATGTTGAACAGGAAAACAAGCTTGAATCAAATCATACAAATAATCGGGTGCAGAACCATGAATCATTTTATACATCAATTGAAGTTTGTGTTTTTCTCTTCTAAGATATATTGGTATCCAAACTTGAAGCATCTTCGCTACAAAATAAAATTGTTCGATTCTTATTCCCTTCTGATTGGAAACATAACCAATGAGGTATAACCAGGAATGATGCAAATTTCCAAAACTGTTTGCAGCTAGAAATACTGTGGAGAAATAGAATGCATGTATGGTGCGCCAAATGAACATATGATCAAAAATTTGAAACTATTTTATAATCAATTGCACATATATTCAAATCAATCTTATTACACCTGCCGGTATCTTTAAATAAATTAGAGATGTTAATTTAAATATCTATGTTAAATAAATTTGAAGAAAGGTACTATTGATTTGAAGATAGGTACAGTTGATTTGCAGATAGATACAGATGCCATGAATTAAAGATATGAATTATTGATTTTAGGATAAGTGTGGTTTCATTGAAACTATCTTTTACTAAAATAAAACACTGAAAATTACTACTCTCCTTAAAAATGAATGCGCAGTTTATTAGTAAACATACTTCCTACTTATTGGTTACTATCGACAAGTCAGTATAGTTCAATTGATCCCACTACAATTAACTTGAAGGTAGGTGTAATTCTATTAAAGAAAGGTGTAATTTATTTGAACCTAGGTTTAAATACTGAGTATAGGTATCATTTTTACACCTATCATTAATTCATTTAGAGCTATCTTTAATCAAATTGTACTTCATTAAAGGGAAGATTAGCAGTTATTTGAAGAAAGTTCATAAGACCTATTATCAACATATATATGTGCTATATGGAACACCTTGACATCCGCAGTTATATAGTTACGGGCTGTGGTGAGAGGTCCCTTTCTATAACAAGCCACCAAAATTGGCTGTTGTCTGTATAGATAAAAGCGAAATTACCGATGGTCGGAAGTTCAGTGCATATGTAGTACCCAAGAGGGTTGTTAACAACTCTTAACATTGAGAAATCATGGAGGGAAGTTTTCAAAGGATTTTTTGCTTAACAACAACCCAGCATAATTCAACCCTTTCCCAAGTTTCTTGTTATAAAAACTAAAAAGGTACATTGATGCATTTCATTGAAGATTATTCAAGATATATTTGATTGATTTCATAAATATTAAATGGATTTTGCTGATCATGAAATATTTATTTATGATGATACTGCGTATCAAATGTTAGGAAATCAGGAAACACAACGATTTTTAAAAATTAATTTTGACAAGAAGAGTCTATATGGCCAATGGGAATTTATTTATATGGAACCATGCAATTTTACTGTATTTAACAATGATTCTCGGTAAACTACTGCTGTAACATGATAGTTTTTTTTAATAATATTACATTCGACAGTACGCAATGCATTAGTGACATAGCTGGAAAACAAAAGACTCCTGCACTCTTTAAATCCTGTAATTAGAATAATCGATAAGTATTTTGACACATCTGATACAGAGCTTTATAATCATTCAATCAAATGCATCATCTTCTATTAACAATATTTTCCAAAGAGAAAAATTTTATGGAACATCTTTTTAAACAGGTTTCGTTTAGCTTATAAAGATGGAAGACAAATCAGAGAGTCTTACGAAATCTTCCACAGATTACTCGAAACCTTCATTTGTTGAGATTTCCGTGTCAGGAACAAAATTTGAAATTCCTGTAAAAAGCATCCTGAAATATCCAGGGACTTTATTGGAAAAGATGTTACCCGAATTAACAGAGAAAACAGATGAGATTTCTTTCAACCGACCAGATGACGCATTCAAAGCCATTCGGAACTTCTATCTTACCGGCAAGCTACATATGGTCCGTAATATGTGTCCCGAGGAATTCGCCGAAGAAATGGAATATTGGGGAATAAAAACAGAAATGCTGGAACCATGCTGTCTTTACAGGTAAAAAATTAAAGAAATGTTTGTTATCGAAATTTAAAAAATATATATTGAAGAAATGCGTGCTGGTATAATCAATTATCATTGTTTGTTGCTAAAATTTAATAAATCTATATACTTCGCATAATCTTATAGATTCAAACTAATGTACGAAGATGCTGTTTATTTCACATTTTCTATTCTTTTCTTCAGATATTTGGCGTTCAAACAACAGGCAGAAATGTCAAGGCAATTCCGTAAAACGATACACCCAACGTCAGACCCTGAATCAACCAAGTGTTCCTCGTGGAGACAGAGGCTCTGGTTAATCGTAGACAATAGAGACTCATCACCACTGGCCAAGGTTTGAAAAGGTTAACTTCTTGAATGCCCAATTTACCTTTTTATTGCTACTAAACAAAGGGGAATGTAAAAGATGAAAGATTTTTCAATTTCAAATATTTTTGTAAGTACCATCTGTGCAATGAATACTTCCTAAAAACCAACTTGAATTATTTTCTAAACTAGCACACGGTCAAAAACATATTCCTCACTTCAACTCAACTTTTAACAATATATATGTCTGTGAAACACTGATTGTCCCTTACGACAGCTCAAAGCCAAAGTTTAAGTTTCTCAAATGTACGGTGGGCCACACCTAATGTCAAGATTATGGGTTCAATATTGTTGGTACCGAAAAGGATCTTGTAACAATCAATATACATGTCTGAAAATTGAAAGTCGTAGCACCAACCATTAAAAAATTATGGCGAAGGTTTTTTAAAGGTAGACTTACTCCACTGTCAAGGTCATGGGATAAAAAATATTCATACTAATATAAAGTTCCTGTGACAAGGGATAAATAATTGACTTTTTTTCAAATTACGATTTTCAAAAGTAACTCTAAGTCAATGGAAAAATGGTTAAGTACTTCGACAAAATCAATGGACACATGGGATTCGCATGTGAAATATACTCAATTTCAAAAAGTGTTCTTTGAAAAAATAAATATATCAATATACATTGCCTGTTTGTAGCATTACTTTTCGTGCATAAAAGGAACAACTTAGCAAAAAGTAAAAATATGAACCACGAATGTAAATTTCTAAAAATGAATTTTGAAAAAGTGTTTCCTGGCCTTTGTTTGTTAGCTATTCAATTCTTTTCAAAATGCAAATTTAATTGGAAAGGATTAATTCTTCCAAATTCTTACCTTTTCAAAAAAGCTGAATTTCAAAACATTCCTTACTTCTATCAGGTACTCTCGTAATTGATACACGGGGCGCGTTGGAATGTTGTACATCATGCAATTTTGAAAATGACCAATGGCAGTAAAAATAATGCGATGATTCAATTTTAGAAAAAGGGGCTATTAAAACAATTATAAGGAATGTTTTGTTGTGGAAACAGTGAAAGAATATGTTAGGAACACACGATTGGTAATATTTTGAGGGATTTAAACCAATTTAGAATACATGGAAAAATTAATGTTAAGAAACAGAGCAGTTTTTTGTGGCAATAAATACAGTCTTTTCCAATTTTATAAAATGTAATCTCTTCTATATATATTTTTATTAATCTAGAGCTTAATTTCTGTAGCTAGTTTGCCCATCAAGGAAAGTTACAGCATACATAATTACAATAATAAAAGTCCAAAATGTTTCCACATCGAACAGTAATTTTCGGATTTCCATGTAAACAATGCATGTTGGGAGCAGAGCAAACATACTTCTAAAATCATCAGCAGTGGGATCAGGCGCCAAGCGGAAGGGTAAGCATCCCCTGGCGACCGTTTTGGTCCTTGTCATTATCGGGCAAAGGGAAAAAATCGTAGACAAATGCATTCGAGTTGCTTACTACAATAATGTAATATATTGTATTTGCTGACAAGGTCATTGCATTGACCATAGAACTAGTAAAAATGTTGACTTTTATCAAGACAGTTGAAATTCTTATTTCAGAGTTTCTCAAAGAATATCATAATACTGATAATACTGATAACTCATAGAAAAAGCATAATTATCAGATCAAAGACCCATTCCTCAGATTTGGTCAAATTTTTACAATATATATTTTATCATTCCAGCAAAACAAGTTTGTCGTCCAAGTACGTCTTACTTGGAAATGGACCAATGCACCTGATTATAAAAGGATATTTATATCTGGAAGTTTTTTGCAGGTCTTGGATTCATCATTCTTTTTGTTCTTCTGTCTTTGGCCTCGCTATGTCTTACCGATGTTCAAAAAACTGACGATTTGCGTAGCACGCGATTTATTATTTTACTACCATGACTATGAAGACAATGTTGAGAATTTCTTCATTCACGTGGAGTGCAACAGCATGCAGAAACGTTTTCAGATCTATTTATTTGAAGTACGAAAACTACACGGATGAAACGTTTCAAGAAGAGATAAAAGAAATGGAAGCCAATGGAACGGACGAGGGGGATATAAATGATATGAAATTAAAATGGAAACTTCAGAAAATAAACCTACCAAATAAAAGCGCTCGCCTGAAAGTGTTCGACTTGATTGACCTTGTTGTATTGGTTGTGTTCGCTGTAGATCTGATCCTAAGACTGGTAACTTGTCATAAAAGGAACAAATTACAGAAGGTAAAAATATGAATTATTTCTATAATAAATTTCAAAAGTTTTAATTCCTAGCCTTTGTTTGTTAGCTATACACTTCTGATTCCAAAACGTCAGAACTGTAGTTGACCGGAGAGCTACAGTGCCATCCATTGAAAAAAAAACTGTATATTTATTGCGCAAAAATACTGCGTCTTAATTTGTGGATTTTCAATTCTTCCAAATTCTTAAAAGTTTTCAATCAACTTTTTCAAACATTCAAAATCTTGATATATTGATTATCTTCAGCAACTCTCGTTTCCGTTTGATTCGAGTTGTACATTTTTATGTATTTATATGAATTCTGTAGAATTTGTATCATGCAAAACCAATATTATGGAAAAAATTTTATACTCATGTTCATTTTTTTTGTCGGTTTAACAACATTTTAAGCGAATGTTTTGTTTGTGAAAAAATATATGTTATTTAACACATGATTGGTAATATTTTGACAACTGTTTTATGGTGATTTGTATGGAAAAATAAATCCGAAAATAGAACTTTGTTTTGCATGTGCAATGTGCATTGTTTTTTTTGTCCAATGGGTGGCATTTTAGCTCTCTGGTCTGTGGCTTATATTTTTTTTGCGTATTGTTGAGAAGGAGAGCTAAACAAAAACTCTGTAAAAATTAAATTGTGCCCATCAAATTTTACATCATCCATAAAAAATACAATATAAAAGTCCAGAAATGTATTGACATCGAACAGTAATAAGTTCAGAATTCCATGTAAACAATGCCTTTTGGGAGCAGAGCAAACAAGGACTTCTAAAATCATCAGCAGTGGGATCAGGCGCCAAGCGGAGGGGTAAGCATCCCCTGGCGACCGTTTCGTCCTTGTTATAATCGGGCAAAGGGATAAAAACGTAGAGGAATGCATTCGAGTCACTTAATGATATATTGTATTTTTTGACAAGGTCAATGCATCGACCATAGAACTGGTAAAAATGTTGACTTTTATCAAGACAGTTGAAATTCTTATTTCAGAGTTTCTCAAAGAATATCATATAATACTGATAACTCATAGAAAAAGCATAATTATCAGATCAAAGACCCAAAGCAGATTTGGTAGAATGCATCCGAAGTATTATCATTCCAGCAAAGTTTGTCGTCCAAGTAGGTCTTACTTGGAAATGGACCAATGCACCTGATTATAAAAGGATATTTATATCTGGAAGTTTTTTGCAGGTCTATCTTGGATTCATCATTCTTTTTGTTCTTCTGTCTTTGGCCTCGCTATCTCTAGGCACCTTACCGATGTTCCAGAGAAAACTGACGATTTGCGAAGCACGCGATTTATTATTTTACTACCATGACTATGAAGACGATGTTGAGAATTTCTTCATTCACGTGGAGTGCGACAGCAGTGCAGAAGACGTTTTCAGATCTATTTATTTGAAGTACGAAAACTACACGGATGAAACGTTTCAAGAAGAGATAAAAGAAATGGAAGCCAATGGAACGGACGAGGGGGATATAAATGATATGAAATTAAAATGGAAACTTCTGAAAATAAGCCCACCAAACAAAAGCGCTCGCCTGAGAGTGTTCGACTTGATTGACCTTGTTGTATTGGTTGTGTTCGCTGTAGATCTGATCCTAAGACTGGTAACTTGTCCAAGCATTGGTTCGTATTATAAGTCAGTGTTGAACGTAATTGATACTGTTGTCTTAATTTGTGGAATTCTTGGATATGTTCTGGAAAAAGTTTTAATCAACTTTACCTATGACAGAGGAGATCTTGATATATTGGTTTATCTCCAGCAACTTCGCGTGTTCCGTTTGATTCGAGTTGTACAGAATGTTGCCGCCATCAAAGTACTCGCTTTCTGTTTCAAAACCAATATTAAGGAAATACTGATTCTCATGTTATTTTTGTTTGTCGGTGTAAACATTTTTGCCAATATGCTTTTCTTTGTCGAACCAAAAAACATATCCAGCATTCCACAGGCATGGTGGTGGGGAATAATCACCATGACAACTGTTGGTTATGGTGATTTGTATCCGGTCACAGTTTCCGGGCGCATTATTGGGACTTTGTGCGCAGTCAGTGGAGTTATTGTTCTTGCTTTAATTATTCCCATTTTTGTGAACAATTTTCTGGCTTTGTATGAATTTGCGTGCTTGTTGCAGAAAGAAAAGGACAGAAAAACAAAAACTTTGAAAATTGAAGTGGGACCTTCCAAATTTTAGCATCATCCTTTTAAAAAATGATTAAGTATCGCATGATAATGCATACAGGGTGTTGAAAATTGTATTGCACGTACCATGTATTGTACATTTTTGTAGAAATTTGATCTTTCTTTATTATTATTATTTATGAATGAATTCTTTCAATGAATTATCAGCAGAAAAATATCCCGTACATGAAGCAACGATCTACATGTATACACTAGTATATAGTTCGCATCGTGGAAAATTTTATTGCATATACCATGTTATCCTAGTATATTTTTTTCTGGAATGCTTTCTAGCTATTTATTTTTTATTATTATTATTTGTTTTGAAATAAATATCTCTTTAAACGAATTATTACCACAAAAGGCACTTCTAAAATATACAGTGGTGTACATTTTGACTCTGGAAATAGACTTGTCGACCCGCTCCCTCAGTGATTTTATTTCAATGAAACAAACAATAATGAAATTAACTCCCTGTATAAATCCCTGTGTAGGATGCACGTCAGTTCATAAAACTGAATTACCTTTTTGACAGGGAATTAGTTTTGTACGGTAATTTTCATGGAATCTGCAAAACATTTTAGTAAATAGTTATTTAATTTGAAATTTATGTCGATTTCAAAGCATGGCTTTGTCGAGCATCCCCTGGCAACAAAAGTATATGGTCCCCAGGCCAGGACAAAATATCCACACCCCCCCCCCCAACACACACACGCGACAGCATTACAATGTACTATATCACAAAATCATTTTTTTAAAATTCCTTACTCTATGCGTCACGAGAGTTTAGTTTTCTGATAATAAACAACAATTTTATTTTTTATTGATGATAGTAAGTTTTGCTTGAAGAACTCGATTTTTTTAGTAGTTTGTCAGCAGCTGCACAAAACAAAACCTAAACACTTTGTGTTTCACTTCGACACTTTTTTCAATTAAAACCTTTACCCTTCGGATATCCTTTGCCAATCTTAAAGATCCTGCAAGATAAGATTTCATATATTTTAAAAATTTTATTTATCGTCAGACAATTAAAATTTGAAAATAAGATTAATTTTAATAAATTTTTAAAAGAATTTAATTAAGACAGGTGTCACTAAAGCAGTTTGAGTGAAATAAATTAAAAAAGCAAATTAAAGTAATGTATCTTAGCTGTAGTGCATTACACATTATATCATAATCAAACTAAAACTATATTTGTGATTGCATTTTAAAATCATTTCACAGAAATTTAGCTATTTTTTGGCAGCCATTGCTAATGGCAGTGTAATGAAATTAAAAACCAATGCACAAAATTATTTTTTTTAGTATAGTCTACTTGTGTGTCAAGTTATATTGAAATCAAACCAAAACTGTAGGAGGAGTAGCATTTTGAAAGCATTTCACAGAAAATTCTATTTTTAGTAACCACGACAACACCGTTAATCGAAATCAAAAACCCATGCAAAGAATCATGTATCTTTGTATAGTCTACTTGTGTGTCAAGTTATATTGAAATCAAACCAAAACTGTAGGAGGAGTAGCATTTTGAAAAATTGTTTACAGACAGACAGACATACAGACGCATTACTATCGCATAAGCTCTTCTGGTCTCTAACCAGTAGAGCTAAAAACGAATTTTGTGAATTTTGATACCTTTGAGAGGATTGCCAAAAAATTACAAAGCCATCCACAAATACTACCTTATATTTTGTCATATAAACAGTAACTAATATATATCAATTTAACTAAATGGTAGAGGATGTAAACAAACATAGAAACGTAGAAAAAAGTTCTGAACAGTCGAGGACAAGGGTCTGATTCAATGTAATTCTAAATAATCACTTTTTTCCCACCTTACAATTTAGAAATACAACTTATCAACGACATTGAATGATTGTATATTGTTTAATGTCCCATTCGAGAATTTTTAACTCATATAGAGACGTCACCGTATGCCGGTGAAGGGCTTCAAATTTTGACCTTTACTGAGCACTCAGGGCCATTCAAGCTAAGAGTTCCATTTAAAAATCAAGATCACAGCAAACACGGACCTTTAAACATAATCAGGTATCATAGAGGTGTAAGCATCCCCAACCAAGCGGTTACATCCACCATTTGCTCTTTGTCATGATCAGGAAATAACAGAAAAATCCATCGACAATTCAGTGTGTAAATATTGTGTAAATAACGGTAAGTATGAAAATCGTCAGTCAGCATTTGACTTAATGATAGATTGTATTTGCTTACACGATTACATTGTATATCGACCATATAACTTATAGAACTCTTGATTCATCAATTTGTTTTTCAATAACTTGTCTCGTTTTAGAAATTGTTCTTTAGAAATTGTTCATTAGAAGAGTCTGCTCTTGCGGATCGAATCAACTGGATATATAGACATGTATGCAGGTGATAAGGATATAATGCTGCATAATTAAGGAACTTTAATAATTGAATCGATAATTATCATGTTATCTCAAAATTTTTTTTGACGGATTACGTGTACCATTAACGTTCTTTTTCTAGTAAAATATTCGATGTTTCATACTGTGGTATTCTTTATTTCAATCTCATCAGGATATATCGTGTCGACATAAGAATGAAGAATAATTTTTAACTGACAATACGTCATCGATATATGTAAATATATAAATATATTTATCGATATATCTAAATGTCGAGTTGAAGGCCACAGAAAGTCTTCTTTTCACGTACAGTTTTTATTTTGAATAAATTCTGCTTTATATGGATACAAAAAATAAGTCTGCTAATTTCAGGGCGCAATTGGTACCCCTGGGAATTCCCATAGATATTTGGAGGACTATTTTCCCTGGATCAGGAAAAAAAAATATATGGGTTCCCTGTGTGTGGGTATCGGTCTGTCCTTTGATAGGACTAGTTTTTCACACATTGAAAATTAAAAATTTCAAAATGTTTACATATACAAATATTGTAATACTTTATTTCTGTATCTTGGTTTGATCTATGATACAGTGGGTTGATCTGATTTTCAAATATACATGTATTAGAATTTAACAAATGTTCCTAGAATTGATCTGATTCTAAGATTTTATTCAACGTTTCAACTCGATTTGACCAATAACACTCCTTACGTTAGTTTTTGACTCCTTTAGATAAATTCGACAAATGATATTGTGATTGTTTCGTTCTTGGTATTTTATAGTTGCATTGTTCTGTTGATCTCTTGATTTGTTAATGAGACTTACCTGGATTTGACCACTGGTTCTGTGACCTAAATGGGTCACAAACTTTATTGTGCCCTTGATTCAGGTAACCTGATTGGAAACAGTTTCCATCAATCAAACAGGCGTCATTCTAGAGAAAACAAAAGTTCATTTTTTTTCAAAATTAGCCAGTCTCCATATAAAATACACGTATATCAAAAGCATGTTTGTTTAAATGTGGATTGGCTCTTCATATTTTAAAATGACATTGTCCTTCGACTTCACACTGTTGACAAACGGAGTCGTACACTGTGTGTGTTTGTTCATTGCTAAAGGTAGAATTGTCTAATAAGATCGAGACGTTGTACTCCTGCAGCGTTCTGCCTGATAATAAACACAAAACATGAATAAGACTAGATCACTACCTTCGCGTATTCATTATCAAAGTACATTTATAAAAGGAAAAACTATTTTCATTTTGCCTATTTGAGCAAAATACCGGTATAAGACATTTGTAAATGCTTCTATCTAATGATTGTCACCTGTATGGGCATCGTAGTGGACAGGCACAGGACAGAGGACCTTCCACGCCTACACAAGCTCAGCAGGTACAATGGTCAGGGTTCCTGAACTCTAAAATCAATTCACAAAACGTAATATAAGCAATGGCCAATATAATTTGTGTTCTGTCGTTGATTAAAGATTCATTACTCTCACTTACTTTTAATTATAAGATTATTCTTCCAGATGATAGATATGGCTAATGATTTCTTAAGGATAAACTACAACTCATCTTTGTATATTTCCTATTTATATTATTTATTAGAATTACAACTGCATATATGTAAAAGATTATAGATAGAACATACCGTCAAAGGTTCGAAACGACATGTCATCTTTTCGGTTTCCATTATATTCGTAGCAATTACATTGGTCTTGGCGCAGACCCTTCTCCTTATATCACACAATCCATCTCTTGCAATAAAAGTTGTATTCATAAATCAATTGAAGTTTCATGAAATACCCACACTAAGAAAAACCATTGTCAGCCTTGATGTGACAATGGTTTGTCTTTTTGGTTAACAATGATGACTTATTCTTATCACGCATCATGACAATTTGACAGACAAGTTTATCAATCATTGAGTTAGGCCGTGGAATCATGATTGTTCTCGGTGACAGTGTTTGTTGATTTCAATGATTTTAGGAACACCCATTCGATAAAGCGTTTGCTGCTTGATTTGGAGATCGTAATTTCAAGCCTTAAACTTATTAGAAACTGTTCCACGCAATCAGTACTTTTAGATGAAAATTACGGTGCTCAGTATGAGATTTATAACTGGTGACTGTGTCACGATAGTCAATGAGGTTCCTGAATGTAGAGTAAAGTTCTGAATTTGACTGGTATCTAGTGACTTCTCATATAAGTGAAATAACCTTGTAAAACTGATGTACACTGATGTAAGACTGCAAGAAATTGATAGAAACACTGAATTATGATTGTCCACAAAACTCCTCTCCCCCTGAATAAAAATTATTCCACAGTAGCAGACCAATTAGTACAATTCTCTGTCATTTTTGGACTTTCAGTAAGGCGTGGCATTCTCGACGCTACGTAATTAACGTCTCTCAAATGGCAAATACGAGGGGTGATCAAAAAGTTCGCAAACTAATTGAATAACTTCCATACAAGAAACAATATTTGGTTTTAATGTTGATTATATTTTTAAATTAAAATTCATTTTAATGCAATCAACCACCGTTCTGCGCATGTGCAATCACGTTTATTGACAAATTAAAAGATTTTTAAGTTTTATATTTCTTTCCATTTGTTAATTTTTATGACAAG